GTGTGTATATGAGATGTTAAAAAAGGTCTGATTGGTGTGTATATGAGATGTTAAAAAAGGACTGATTGGTGTATATATGAGATGTTAAAAAAGGTCTGATTGGTGTGTATATGAGATGTTAAAAAAGGTCTGATTGGTGTGTATATGAGATGTTAAAAAAGGTCTGATTGGTGTGTATATGAGATGTTAAAAAAGGACTGATTGGTGTGTATATGAGATGTAAAAAAGGTCTGAAAAAAGCCTTTATCTGAATTCTGCATATCGTCTGTTTTTTATGTTGAAAATAGTCAATTTTCCTGTTGTCTGCTACATGAATTCAAAAGTTAGAATTTAAGAAAACCCTCAATTGAAAATTATTATTAACATATGTTTAAACTAAAAATAATGTTTTTTTCTAATTTCTTTCAATTTTGAATATTAAGTTCTGAATTATCATCATAATTGTATAATTCTCTATAGCTCGAGAGTAAAAGAAAATAAGGCACAAAATTAGGCTTATGTTAAGTGTTTTAGCCTATAGCCAACCTCAAATGGTATTTTTCTTCAACTCTGGATAAAAAATAATGTTAAAATTTAGTCATTTCGTCATTTTTATAGAAGTATTTGACAAAATTTCGTCAGATTTTGATAAAAGTGGTAGGCGATTATATCAATACAATGAAGACTACTTTTCATTTAAGTTTTAATTGTTTACGATTTTTTAAAAATTACTAGTTTAGAAGTAATTAAAGAGAATATTTTTTAATCGACAGCTTCTCTTTGCTTCAATGTTTATGTGTATCCATGCTGTTTAAAAGATTGATCAAAATTGAAATTGAAAGTCGTTTTCATTGTATTGATATCTGCGACGACGAATTTAACTATTTAGACTTTTTCCTTCATCAATCTCTATTGCTGATTCAGTGTGGATCGAGCATTATGCTGTTAGGGAAAGTTTGCTGTTGTTGTTCACAGAAATGCGGAATCTCATTCATAGGTAGCACACTAATCTTACCAGAGATAAGTATATCCGGGTGTATATGTAGCACACTAATCTTACCAGAGATAAGTATATCCGGGTGTATATGTAGCACACTAATCTTACCAGAGATAAGTATATCCAGGTGTATATGTAGCACGCTAATCTTACCAGAGATAAGTATATCCGGGTGTATATGTAGTACGCTAATCTTACCAGAGATAAGTATATCCGGGTGTATATGTAGCACGCTAATCTTACCAGAGATAAGTATATCCGGGTGTATATGTAGCACGCTAATATTACCAGAGCTAAGTATGTCCGTGGAGTGTGTGTAGCTCGCTAATCTTACATAAAGATAAGTATATATTTATATATAGAGTATATATAGCACGCAAATTGGGAAAAAGATAAGTATGTCCGGGTGAATTGTATTAAAATATCAAAGTTTTTTGTGTTGTTCAAGTATTATCATTGAATTTTATGTAAATTGTATAATACTTAAAAGCCGAAAAGTGTAACTCAACAACAATTAAAAAAGAGAAATTTTTAAGAAGAAAAAATGCGAAAAAATTTAAACGGGTTGAAAAGTAAAATTTGCTAATTATCAAATTTGTCCGTTTGAATCGCCATGAAAGACTCATTTTGAGCAATACCTGTAGAATTTGATGTAAAACGGTGTCAAAATTATACCAAAACGTAAATATGTAAGATTTTGTATAAGATTCGTAGTATTAAACAGATCATATTCAACAAATACGCAACCAATCTGAAAACAACGATATCCCAGAGGAGCCCCAGAAACTCAAGTTTGCTTCTATTATTATTTGAATCCAATAATTTTTAATTTTTGATAGATATAATTGATAATATTATTCATGGGTCCGGAACATGTCACGTGTCTCCGTCTGTATCACGTGACCAGTTAACTGCACTGCCGTTGGAGGGAGTTCTGGTCACGTGATACGGACATATATCTTATATATATACGTTTTGGTATAATTTTGACACAGTTTTATGATGTCAATTTCTCGAGACAGGATCATCAGACAGATGTCTTATAGGTATCGTTCAACTCCTGAGATTCTTAGGTTTCAGCCTTTACCCCCTTTCATTTTTCCTTTACAGTCCCTTTAACTTCAAGTAACCCTCCATGCAAAGATGACAATGTCCAATTCACAACAGTACCCTTGAAAGCTTTGTCTGATCAAGTATGAAAAAAGACCAATGTTTATAATTTTCTTTCACATTATTGATCAGAAAGGTTTAAAGGGACGAGGGTTACGTTGTGAATCGGGCATCACCATCTTTGCCTGGAGGTTCACTTCAAATTATGCTGACAGTCCCTTTAAACTTGAAAACTTGAAAAACAAAGTAAAATTCATTGTAGTGAAGAAACTTTATACTTTATAAATTGTACCTTAAAACTTGTACTGGTCAGTTTATCACATCTGCATTGAACAAATTGAACTATTGAAATTATTCTGAGCTTAAAGGGAGTGTAAGCTAATTTCAAGAAGTAACCCTTCATGCAAAGATGGCAATGTCAGATTCACAACGGTCCTATTTAAACCTTTGTCTCATCAATGGGAAGAAATTGTTGTTTTTCTAGGTTTAAAAGTGTTTAATTCTGATAACTCCTATATGTTTTCCTGGAATAGAAATGCGCGAGTCTTTTCAAGATTTATGTGTGTTTCGTTCAAAATAACCTTTAGGTAAAAGCCCAAAGGAGTTAAGCGTAGTCTGCGCAGAACAGGCTCTCTCTTTGTCTTGTAATTCTACAGAGAGAGCCTGTTCTACGCCGCCTATGGGAAACTCTTTGGGGCTTCTACCTCAGGGTTATTGTGAACAATATACTTATAAATCTTGAAAAGACGACATCTAGTGTCCTATCTGTCATTTAATTAATCTATGATAATTAATATATTTCTATATAATTTATACTTGATCAGACAAAGCTTTGAAGGGTACCGTTGTGAATTAGGCATTGCCATCTTTGCACGGAAGGTCACTTAAAATTACACGTACAGTCCCTTTAAGTAATTGTATTTTAGGAATTGTACTAATTGTATGTGAGCTGAGTGGATTTGTTTACTGTACACTGTACATAGAGCAAACAAACACTGCATATGACACATACACAGGACAGGTACAGTGCAGTACAGTACAGTAAAGTGTATATATATTCACATATATGTATAATATATGTAGAAATATATCACATGGCTTTCATGATTTTCAATTTGAACATTTTCTCATTGTAAAAGAAAAACACACAAAAAGTTCGCGGATTTTATCAAAAAAAAATTCGTGGACTTTAAGATTTAATGAAAATCGAATTCTGTTAGGCAAATATTTGAAATTTGGATCATCCGTAAACCTTCCCTGGGGTCATGTGAGGTCCCACACAAAATTTGGGCCCGATCGGTTCAGCCGTTTTGACGTTTATTGGACACAGACAAACAAGCAAACAAATAAACAAATACCCAGACATACAGACAGACAAGCAAAGTGTATATAAATATATATATTAATATGTATAAAACAAATTTTTTCCTTTAAAATCAATTCATGGGCAATGCCGTGCACTTCAGTTAGTTAATATTTATATATATATATACAATTAAACTCATTAAATCGGAAATATCAAAAAATGGTCTCAATCCGATTACAAACATATCTGTAGAGTGTAGACCCTGATACAAGATTGTGCAAACAGAGAAATTATCTTATTTTTACAAAATTACACGCTTATAATTGGACTTTTTGAATCGAAAATTGTACGTAGATTTTAAAAATTATCTCTATCTTGAAAATCCGATTACAAACGAGTTTGTAGACCCTTATTCCCCGTTTTTATTAAACACTCTGTATATGTTCAGGGTTTGCTAGGATATGCTGGATATATGTCTGCAAATATTATTCTATATTTACTCTGTATATGTTCAGGGTTTGCCAGGATATGCTGGATATATGTCTGCAAATATTATTCTATATTTACTCTGTATATGTTCAGGGTTTGCCAGGATATGCTGGATATATGTCTGCTAATATTATTCTATATTTACTCGCAATTCAATCAAACGTGCTTTTAGGGAAATATAGATTTAATATTCTTTTATAAACATAAATACTTTTTTTAAGATTTAATTTTCAAATGGTTTGTTTTTGTACAAAATAATCATTTTAAAGCTGTTAGAAAGGTTAATAAAAGAGTTATAAATAAAAAAGATTATTACAAAGTTTACGAAATTTACGGTCTTTATAATTCTTGATTTTAACGCAGGACTAAAATCTATTAGCAAGAAAATATACAAATAATAAAATCCACAATTCAACTTGAAACATCGTATATCCTTAATAATCTTTCTTTAAAATTTAAAAAAAACAGAAAATGAATTGTGAACTTATCTAAAGAATTTAAAAATAATATATTTCGTAAAATAGTTATCGGTTTTTTCAAGAAAAACAGGTCTGTTTATTTTTAGAAATTTTAAGTTTCTGTTTATGTTTTTTAACTTTTAAAATAGATAATTTGCAGTTTCTTAATAATTTGATTTGAGCTGAAAACTTTAGAATGGTGTATATCGAGATTAATGCGTGATCCTCTCTTTTTCTTAATATCGAGACTAATCTAATCTTGTACTTGTATCTCGAAAAGTGTATAAAATTCAACCAATCAGAGTCGCGTATATGAAGCCGATAAATTTAAAATCTTGCACGCCATTTAAGATTTAATAATAAGATTAAGTAATCAGGATTAAGGATATCTCATTTTAAAGTTTTCAGCTTTGTGCATTTATGTTACGAAAACAATAGTGGAAATTGTCAGAATTAAATTCTTTATGAATTATTTTCACATGATTGATCAGATAAAGTATTTAAAGGTACCGAAGTAAATTGGACATGTACCCTATTCACTTGAAATTACAAAATAGTTCCTTTAAACTCTGTGCAAAAAATCCGAATACATTTTGATTAATAGTTTTGTCCTTTTTTGACTAGAATCTTACAAACTAAAAAGACAGTAAAAAACATATTTATTTTATCATTCTCAAGAAGTACAATTAAAAAGTAATAAATTCAATGAAAAGAGAGAAATTATCTGCTGTTTTACATTTTATTTAAAGATCTGAATTCAAAAGTTTCCTTAAAGTTGATCTTCATCTCAATTAAAAGTTCCAAACCTAAAAATTTAGATTTATTTTCAGATTCTTTTTCGTGCCTTGGTTGCTAGTCCACATCTGTCTAGTCCTGGCCCTGTTTATTGGTAAGAAACAAAGAAAAAAAACACAAAAAAACATCGAAATATATTTCCTACTCTAAAGTTAAGTTTTACTATAGAGAACACTTTAAACCAATTCAGATTTTTTGCATTTAAATTGAAATTAATCAAGGGTCAATTTTTTAAACATAGAGAAAACAATTTGTATTATTAATGTTCTCTGAACGTTAACCGTGCATGTTTTAACTATAAGGCCCAAGAGTCAAGATTGAACTGCCATCAGGCATTTACACGGGCAGCCGTAGTACATTTGAATTTCCGAGCCGGGTCAACCTTTCCGGTCCCAGTTTGTACTGTATTGCCCGGACATTTAGCAAATATAGCAGACACTCAATTAGGACTAGCCGGTGCAACAAGATTAACGCGGTCAGACTTTAGGTTGAATTTACGTTTACTAATGGGTCAGAGGTGCGTGTTTAGAGCGCTCTAAACACGCACCTTCTTCTGCCAGTGTTTAGAATATAGACTTTTAGTTGGCGCGAAGTGTTTTATCGCGTAAAAGAAATCTATAAAAAGCATAAATCTTTTAAAATTGAAATCTCTTAATTGCCATGTTTTTAGAGAATCTTATATATGGATGGAAAGCAAAAAATGTTTTGCCCAAAAATTCTCCGTATTTTAATATCACGAGAAACTTAGAGAATAAGAAATTAATACAAAGTACATATTTGACGAAATTGTACTAAATGTTGTTATAGGTGGGTTTCTTGTTATCATTTGGTTCAGTGCTATTTGGACTTTTCCAGGTAATTTTTTTTAGATAACGGAATCGAGTCTTTGTCACAAACTCAAACGTTCTAATTCCTATATCTTTGCAACCCAATCTTGTTATAGACCTTTGATATTTCAAACTATGAATTCTTTTAGAGCTAATAATTCATGAGTTTGGAATACCAGAGGTTTACACCATCAGTATGCAAATATATAGGGATTAGAACATTTTAGTTTCAATCAAGCGCCAGCTTAGATCTTGAAACATTGAATACAATTTTAAGTGGAACCAACCATATTTGAGTCGCATCTCAAATTTAAGCCGCTGCTCAAATTCTTTAAATTCGGCTACAGGAAACTATAAATGTATCAGCCTTGTTTCAACTTTCTCTCAGAGCTCATTAAGTATTCAGAACCAATAGAGATTGCAACAACGACGGCAGAATCTACCTATCTGAATAATCAAATCTTATAATCCAATTAAAATCCGTACAGTCGTCTCTGAAGTATCTTCCTTTATGGGTAACCCTGTACATATTTTAGGCATAATGTTTATGGGAATTCAGTAATTGTAAGCATAACGTTATCTAGCCCTTATATAGTTATAAAGGCTTATAATGAACTATATGCAATTAATATCACAATATAATGCTACGAAGCCTTAAAGGGACTGTAGACGTAATTTGAAGTGACCCTCCATTTTAGATAGATAGATAGTTGGGTTGCTAACTTAAAAGGTGTTAATTCTGAAAATGTTCTTCATTGTCTGTGCTGGAAGTCAGTTTTATAGGAAAATTATCCATTTTTAGATGCATTCTTTAAATTTAGGGTCACTTGAAATATCGTTTACAGTCCCTTTAAACTATAGGATTTGCTGCAATGGGGGGAATACCTATAGCAGGAGCAGTTCTACTAATGTACATTGGTAATGTTCTAGTACAGTGACAAACAGAAAACAGATTGTCGTCTTCTATCTTGCTTTAAATATGAAATGCCGCTGAGAATTTTGTAATTTAGGAATTATTGATTTTTTAAATGTCTCCTAGATGTTTTCCGAAACATAACGTCCGTTCAAGAAACTACCAAATGCAAAATCTTTGTGTGTTTTCATTTTTATAAGGGTGAACGAAGACGACATTCAGTTTTCTGGGCATTACCGTTTTATTAACTTTAGTAAATATAAACTTTGTTTTTATTTTAATTTTTGACCATTATTTTTTATGATAAATTTAGTTTTGCATTAAAAAATTATATTTTGTTATATTTATAGTTTTTGATTTATTAAGCTGACTTCATATAAGGACAATTTCAAGTGACCCTCCATGGAAAGATGGCAATGTCCGATTCACAATTCGGTACCCTTAAAATCTTTATCTGTTAAAAATGTGAAAATAAGTTTTATCTCCGATAATTCCTTAATTTTTTGGACCCCCCTATCTGTTGATGTGCACCCGTCTAAGAACCCATGTAATGAAAAAAAATTAAAGCTTAAAATCTATGTTAATCTCCCTGACTATTAGTCATCTGACCATAATTACCAAGCATACCATTATAAAATCTAGTAGTAAAAGAGCAAAAAACTTTTTGAAAAAAAATATTCAATTTTTTTGAGTATATCAGATATCATAAATCATATCAATATCAATCATATCATGACTAGATAACACTGGAGACAGTATTATTATTAATTGAAAAAACTCAAAATCTAAATATATATGTAAGTTTAATATATTAGAGCCTGCCTATGGCTCTAGGGGAGGGGGTGCTTGACATTGCCATCCTTGCGAGGAGGATCACTTGATCATCAAATACTGAAAATAATTTTTTCATGCATCAAGACTACCCAGTACCCATGGTATAGGAGTGTTAATGTTGATTCTGACAATGTTACAAATGTTAAAAAAATTAAATAAAAACAAGATTTTTTACACCCTCTAATACTTATGGACGCAACTTTCGGGGGGGGGGGGGGGGGTGTGATATTTATTGTTGTATTTATATTAATATTGTCTTCATTATTCTGCAGGTGGTTGGTTGTCATGAGGTTATATATTGAACTTGGTTTACTGGAAGTCAGAAGATTGTCAACAGAATCATTGTATGTTTAAACATGTTAAAAAATATAGAAGATCATTGTATAAATATAATGATAAAATATATATATATATATATATATATATAGAACTATATATAAGAATGATGATGGTTAAAAGTTAAAAGATGATAATGCATTCTATTTCAATTTCTAATTATAATTCTTTGTATATATACATTATAAAATACTAACAAAAAAGTTCTTAGATTCTAAAATATTTTTTCGTGCATTTTCAAAATTTTATGAAAATCAAATTTTTTGGAGGCAATTTTTTAACAGTATTATTTAAAGCTTACTAAAACTCTGCGTCAATCATCTTGCTCTGAGAGACTGAAATGGATTTTAAATAAAACCCCGCGAAAAAAATATTGTAGATAAGATTAAGGTACAAGAAAGAATTTGAGAAATTATCATAAAATGGACAAATTGTGACATTGTCAAATGTCAATTGATAAGAAAAGAAAAATAATAACAAAAGAGTTCTTAGATTCTAAAATATTTTTTCGTTCATTTTTAAAATTTTATAAAAATCATACTTTTTGGAGGTAATTTTTTCCAGTAAAACTTTTCTGGGATATACAAGGTTCAACACAAAATTTTGGCCCGATCGGTTCAGCCGTTTTGACGTTTATCGGATACAAAAAAACAGACACACAAACAAAGTATATATATATAGAAATGAAGAATTGTGATTCTCACTTTAAAGATCGAGGAGCATGCCTGATTCAAACAAGGACGACATCCTTTAAACCTTTATATGATTAATAATATGTGGAAGACATTGTTTTGTTTTTAAACCAAAATTGAAAGTAATCAATTTTCAAAAAGAATAACATGGATATTTCATTCATTCCTTAGGTCGCTTCAAATTTTCAAATCAAATCATTTATTTGGAAACAAGTTTGAAATATAAATTTTAATAATATAACATACAAATATAAAAATATTGTGCAATGTGCAAGAATAGAGCACAAAAACGGCGGAGAATAGCGGCGGAGGCGGTTGGAGAACAGGAAGCGAAGGCAATGGTGTCAATCTCATCAGTCAGAAATAACAAAAAGTTTTGGACTGAATAATGCATACAATGGTTCTTAATCAAGAAATATTATTACTGCATGTTAGTTTTGGATTAGAATAGATCAAAAATAAGCTAAATATTTCTTCAGACAAGGATACATTTATACAACATTCAATCTGTAAAAAGCCAAAAATGCATGAAAAAAATATGAACAGTGGCCGACTTTAAAGAATTTGAGACAGGGCTCAAATATGATTGGTTCCACTTAAAATTGTATTCAATGTTTTAAGATTTAAGCCGGAGCTCAATTGAAACCGGGTTTTGGTGGATTTGAGACGCGGCTCAACTTCATTAAATTCGGACAAAGATAAAATTTAAGACCCCTTCACTAATGTAAGAACCAAAAGTTGAACAAATATAGCCAAATAGCTGGTTGCATTCAAAGTTCAATAATCTATCCAGAAAATGATAGCTTACGTTTATATTTAAATTAATTTTTGCTAGAATACAAGATACAAGGCTGGGTCAAGTTCATTCCAACCTAGGTTTTAATTTTAGTTAACTTCAAGGCAAAAATATTTACAATCTTGACAATTAAGAACAATTGTACTATTTCATAACAATATATGTAGAAATAACGGAGACCTGAACATTTCATTTCTTTATATAAAAAACAGTTATTTAAATAACGAGAACAGAAAATATTCCATAGAAAAACTGAGTTTATCTATGCATGATATAGAAGGAATTAAATTAAAAACAAATTTTGCCCAATTTTAACATTTGAGAAATTGAGATTGATATTAAGTTTTCCTGACATATCATTTTGATATATCTAATTATCGAATTATCAAACGCAAAAATTAGAACAAATAATCCGGACAAATTTCTGAATACGCCCTTGTACAATATATCTTCATATATATCATGAAAAAAATGGTTGTTTGTTTAGTTTAAGATATGTAATTTGATGCTGTACTCTGAATTGTGACGTCTTTGTACATATCCGCATTTTAGTGAGAGAAAAAAATTGCTTTTTAGATATTTGTTTTTCAGGTTTTTTTCTCATCGTGACGACTAAAAATGGAGAAGAAGTATCCCTGTAATAAATGTGAATATTCTGCGAATAAATCATCACATTTAAAGCGGCACAAAGAGGTCAAACATGAAGGAGTTCGATATCCCTGTGATTTATGTGATTATTCAGCCACTGAACCTTCAAAATTAAAGAGTCACAAAGAAAACAAGCATAATGGAGTTACCTACCCCTGTGACCAGTGTGAATACGCAGCAACCCGTTTCAGTAACTTAAAACAACACAAGCTAAGTAAGCACGAGGGGTCAAGTTATCCCTGTGATCAATGTGAATATATTGCCACTGTTCCCTCGCATTTAAAGAGACACACAGAGAGTAAACATGTTGGGGTTAGATTTCCATGTGAGAAATGTGGGTTTTCTGCAGCTAACTTGTCTTCATTAAAAAGACACATAACTGGTAAACACACAGACCCCTCCAGCGTCATTCTTGAGAAGGAAACTATTTCTAATCAACCAACTTTGTCAAATACACTGAGTAATGGAAGGTATCCCTGTGATAAATGTAAATATTCTGCAACTTCAAAATCCCATCTAAAGAAACAGAAAGAAAGCCAGCACGAAGGTGTGCGGTATCCATGTAATCAATGTGAATATTCTGCCACTACAACTTTACATCTGAAGAGACACGAAAAGAGTTTCCACAGTGGAGTTATTTATCCCTGTAGTTATTGTGAATATTTTGCTTCTTCTTTATTGTATTTAAGAGGACACAAGAGAAGCAAACATGTTTGTTTAGATGATGGTCTAGTTAATCTCAAGAAAATAAAATCTACTAAAAACGACAAGAAGGTTGCACTAAGTGTTAAATCAGAACCGGAAGAGGAAGAATTTTTGAAATTCAAACCTAAACTTGATCTTGTGAAGTATGAACCTGAACCTGATCTTGTGAAACAAGAACCTGAACCTGATCTTGTGAAGTATGAACCTGAACCTGATCTTGTGAAACAAGAACCTGAATTTGATCATGGAAAACAAGAACCTGACCTTGATCATGTTAAACTAGAACCTTGTCCTGAAACTGATCTTGTGAAACAAGAACCTGAACTTGGTCATGTAAAACAAGAACCTGACCTTGATCATGTTAAACTAGAACCTTGTCCTGAAACTGATCTTGTGAAACAAGAACATGAGATTGAAGAATTTTGATTTAAATAGATTAAATAAAATTATGAAAATTTGAAATAAATTCAGGTTTTGATGCATTTTATTATTTTAATTATTTAACATAAACTGTAATGTTTTGTAAATTGGTGCTAATATAGCTAGACTCGTACATGATACAACTGTAAAATGATAAAAAATGTGTCTATATATATACAGGGTTACCCACAAAGGATGAGACTGTAGAGACGACAGAAAACAAGTTAAACAAGTTGTTTGCCTTAGATACAGTAATCTAAAAGCTTATTAAATGATTTGACAAAGAAACAAAAAAGTTTTTAGTTGCAGGGAATCATGAAGAAATTGACAGTATGAATTCTGTACAATCGTCTCTGAAGTCTCATCCTTTGTGGGCAACCTTGTAAATAGCTGCAATAGTTATGCACAACTTTGAGAATTTGTGAAATTTAGAAAAACAATTAATAGAAGTCTTAATCTCAATAAAAGAAGAACAAACTTTTTTATCGTGTTGAGTTTTAGAAAAAAAAAGTGTTTTTTTTTGTGGTTGAAGAAGCCAAATATTTGCTATCGGAGATAAGAATGCTGGACGTGGAGAGAGCTTCTGAGGGTTGGAGACGTAGCGTGAGGCACGGAGATGATTTTGATTGGTCATTCTGCGAATCAGGAGGCACTGGAGGTCAGTTCGCGGGGCTCATGGTTGCTCTGCACCCCCTCCCTCACTGGACTAGACTGTCAATTCTGATTTTCTAAATCTCACTAATTTCTAAGTAAGTATTTACAATGATTTCCATAGAAATGATCAATTTACTTACAGGGTTACCCAAAAAGAATGAGACTTCAGAGACGATTGTATGGAATATACACTGTCTGTTCTTATATATGATTCCCTGCAACTGTAAACTTATTTTTTTCCTTTCCAAATCATTTAATAAGCCTTCAAGGCTATATTTAGGGCAGAAAACTTATTTTAACCTTAAAATCGTCAAAAATTTGGTCGTCTTTACTGTCTCATCCCTTGTACTTAAAAATTTTGTTTCTTAAATTCTTAATATTAATGATTTTTTTTCAATCTTAAATTTTTAACATTTTTTTTAAGAACTCTGCAGTCTGCACTTTAAAGAAAACAATACATCTTTAAATAATATTTCTGAACTCCAGAGCCTCCTGATACGCAGAATGCCCTCCAAGCCCCGCAAACCCGTCTCCCCGCTCTGCTACCACTCTGCCAGTCTGTCCTCATGCACCGCATTTGGTCTCCAAGAAAAGAACTTGTGAATTACTACTGCAGTTTTATATTTTATATTATTATACAATACTTGAATTTATGATTTTATTGTATGCTTTGTGTAAACTTTTCACAAGAAAACAATTAAAAATCAATTCAATGAATTGATATTCTAACTTTGTGGATTATACTATTCTTTAAACTATTGTGGATTCTACTATTACGAGAAATATTTTAATTTTTGGTTGGTTGAGCCATAAAAGGTAAATAAAAGCGGAGATCAGAGGCACGGAAACGGTTTTGCAGGGCTTGGAGGGGATTCCGTGTATCAGGAGGCTCCGGAGGTCATTTCACAGGGCTTATGGCGGCTCTGCACCCCATCCCTTGTTGTATGGGGCAATCTACTGAACAATCCAATGATGATTTCAAGGATGTACGGAGGGAGGAAGGCTTGAGTTGCCAAAAATACCAGAAGAAAATCTGAGATAAAGCATGCATATACATAGAAGCTTGATGACATTCTATAAAGTCAATTTTTAAAACTTTCTATGTCATTTTTATATTTCACATCCAAATTATTTGATCTTACAATTTATAGTTTGAAATATATAAGATCTACATAATTTGGTTGGAAAGAAAATGGGAATTTGTGGCAAAGACTAAATTCCTTTACTTTAACTTGACGTGGGCTAATATATTCCTGTCAAATACTTCTTGATTCCAATCTTAAATAGTAATTCACACTGTACAGAGTGCACACCAGATATATTCACACTGCACAGAGTGCACACCAGATATATTCACACTGCACAGAGTGTACACCAGATATATTCACACTGCACAGAGTGCACACCAGATATATTCACACTGCACAGAGTGCACACCAGATATATATTAACACTGCACAGAGTGCACACCAGATATATTCACACTGCACAGAGTGTACACCAAATATATTCACACTGCACAGAGTGCACACCAGATATATTCACACTGCACAGAGTGCACACCAGATATATTCACACTGCACAGAGTGCACACCAGATATATTCACACTGCACAGAGTGCACACCAGATATATTCACACTGTACAGAGAGCACACCAGATATATTCACACTGCACAGAGTACACACCAGATATATTCACACTGCACATAGTGCACACCAGATATATTCACACTGCACAGAGTGCACACCAGATATATTCACACTGCACAGAGTGCACCCAGATATATTCACACTGCACAGAGTGCACAACAGATATATTCACACTGCACAGATATATTTAGAATAGAACATTACATCAACTATATGTTATACAATTAATATTATTATCTTAAATATAACAAGTTTGTGGATAAAAACATGATTTAATGAAAAAATTAAATTTAATATTAATACATAGAATCACTTATGGATTACAATAAAATTAAATATGGATTCAGACTATCACTTATAAGTTTACAAAAAATAACTGGAAAGCATAAGTTTAGATAGATTCGCAATTTTCAGTTCTGGTATAATTTTACGGAGAAATTGTTTTTCAATGGTTCTTAAGGTTTCAACTGAACAGCATATATTTAAATAACTTTTCCTTAACAATAAGACCAGAACTAAAAATTGCGAATTTTCTTATTACAATTTTGCAAATTTTCTGTGATTCTTTGATTCAATCTTTAAAAAATTTTAGATTTCGATAGAGATAACTTATATATTTTGCTTTTCTGAACTTTTGTTTTTTAGAGAAAAAAGGTTCGCGGATTTTCTTTTGGCCCATTGCAGTACCAAAAAAATTACAAATTTTCAAAAAATATTGAAAAAACACCATACAGGCTAGTTGCACAAAAAAGGTACAATTTTGCACCAGGCGCCGTAAATCACTCTTTTTTTGACTCACCCTGTAGATAGACAGACAGACAGATAAAAAGATGTAAGATGGATAGATAGATAGATAAATGGATAGATAGATAGATAAAAAGATGTAAGATAGAAAGATAGATAAATAGATAAATAAATAGAGAGATATAGAGATTGATACAGAATCTTAATAAACAATAGAAAATGTTCTAGACATATCTTAAGAAGAAAGATAGATATATAGGTAACATAACATAAACCTATCTATATAATAAAACAAGACATTGGTATATATATGTTGCGTATAGCCGGCCAAACGGCTGGACTGCTTTGGTTGAAACTTTTTGTGGACACTCATGGGTGGCCGGGGGTGTTATATGGGCTAAAAAATCAAAAAAAAAATCAAAAAAATTTTTTCCATGTACAACGCCGGGATCTTCAGCTAGTTTAATATAAACTACATGCAAAGGAAACTACTGTGGGAACATTGTATCCTGATCAAACAAGAATATGCCTACAGAGTTTGGTGAACAGATTGAATGTATGAAGGGAACTGAAGTTCCCCTCATTCTCAACCATTTAAAGAGCTGAGCAACACCCTGATCATTACTTGTTGTTTCCTCATAATAATATATGATACAACCCTGCTCTATACTATCAAGGTGTTTATCAAACTCTTGCTTAGTATTTGGAAATTTGTATTCTTTCTTGATTATTCCTACTCCTGGAGGAAGTTTTTCACCAAGAAGGAAAACAAACTTGTTAGATTTGTTATATGGTGTCTTGTTTAACTCAACCTTGAGCTGGGTGTATAGAGCAGGATCTCCCGGGGATCCTTGTATACCAAGGATTCCAGGTCCCGGGGAGTCCACATCTACACCACCCTGTGGGAAACAGGATACAAGGTTAACTGTACACCTTAGCCTAGATAAAGTAGTGATACAACCCTGATAATTTAACAGAGATTGGCACTCTGTTCCTCTGGCTAGTGCATAGTTGGTTAAAAGACAACCACTATCCGATTTTATAAAATCCTTTAGTTTATCACTATCATGTTCTACATCATCATATCTGAACAGTTTAATTTCTCTTTTATTAAGCTGTTCTTCAAAGAGAGAAAAATTAAACTTTTCGCCCCTTATACAGATAAATTTGTCTGCTTTCTTCTTTATAGCATCTATGGATTCCTTGTAATAACTAGGATTATCTATATCCCCCTTAACCACCTCTGGTTTATATCCTAATACTGTTGAAAGTTTACTACTTTCTAAAGTGTTACCGCAATCCTTGAAATATTCGCAAATACTTCTTGAGGTTCTCAATATGTTCGATAGAAAATGTTCTTCAAATGTCTTGTCTATGTTTAATACTTCAACAAGTTTAGGATCTCTCAATTGACTTGGGTGTAAAGATATGATGATCTCTTCAGTTTGTAATGTGCTGAACTTATCTAACCTCAGGAGTTCTAGTTCTTCTGGAGATAAACACCATTTACCTCTTAATATAGGTAGGAAACCTTCTCCATATTCATCAACCACCACCAGGCATTGTTTTTTCGCCTTTTCTACAAATATATTTCTAATGTTTAATATGTTTATTTTATCATTTATAACAGTGAAATTAGAATTAGATATATTTATCATATTTGGAGGGGGGTAGGGTAGGCTAAATTCAATAGTTTTATGATAAATGACATTTTAAAGTTAGTTAAGTATAAATGATATTATAATTAAATATGGGTTAATCCAAGTCATATCACCACACTTTGTCTTAATGCTTTATGTAAGCATTTTCTTCATTTTTTGTTTTTTTTTCGGATTTTAGAGATAAAAAAATGTGATAAAAAAATTCTAAAATATCTTTGAAACATTGAAAAATCCGCGAAACCAAATTTTGTTTGAAAAAAACTTTAGAAATGTGATGACTTCAAAAATGCAAATAATTGACTTTCATTTTTATATATCTCGTCAATGTCTGATGAATTTTTATGAAATATTGAAAAACATTTGAATAAACGTTTTCCAAAAAAATTTTTCAAACAAAATTTGGTTTCGAGGATTTTTTTATCACAGCTCCAAAATTAATTTCGAATATTTTTATCATATTTTATTTTTGTCATGCCTAAAATAATGATAAAATCCCAACAAATTTTTGAAAATATTGTCAATAACATCGATATTCCTGGTTTTTTTTACCCACCCTGTAGATGCAAATAATATGTTTATAAATGTGGATTGATAGTTTAAATTTTCTATTTGCTTAATGGAGCAAATCTGCTGTTTGTACATACACAATTCATGTACTTTTTATGGTAAATAATTCTTATATTGATTTAATGTATTTTAGTTAGACTTCGCACACATATTGTCATCCTTGAGAACCTTTTCAGTGGCTTCCAATGGCTTGCTCACAACAGAATATTTAGTTAAACTAGACCCGACATTTTTAGTTTGAAAATCTCCTATTAGATGTTTTGATTCAACCCAATTTCATGTATAACCAAATAATTCAATTTACGAAAACGCTTTATGTTATGTTACCTATTTATCTATCTATCTTCTTAAAATATGTCTAGTACATTTTCTATTGTTTATTAAGATTCTGTCTCAATCTCTATATCTCTTTATTCATTTGTCTATTTATCTTTATGTAACTTGTATCAATGCTGACACTCATATCAAATGATTGAGACTCTGCTTTGCTTACAGAAAGTAAGTAAATGGGTTCTCTTTAGAAACTCTGCTTTGATTACAGCAATAGAAGTAATTCGGTTCTCGTTGCAACATACAAGCAGAGATCTTGCTAATTGATTTAGCATTGATGCGAGATAGTGTCTGATTGACAATCAAAGCTTATGAGATTGTGCCATAGACGTTTTGGTATTGATAGCAGGCTTGTGTCCTTCTGAGACATTAGAGCGGATATTACCCCAGCGGTTGGGATTGACATATACGTAGCTATTGATAGCTAGGCTTGTGTCCTTGTGTGGCATTGATATCATTGTATTGGTAGCTGTATTTTGATAGCTACGCTTGTGTCCTAATGTGGCATTTAGGGACTGGGATTCAGTCCTGGTTGAGTTTGATAAAGCTATTGATAGCTAAGCTTGTGTCCTTGTCTGGCATTTAGAGACTGGGATTCAATCCTGGTTGAATACTTTATTAAGTAGCTGGCCTTTGACAGTTAAGCTTGTGTCCCTGTGTGGGATTTAGAGCCAGGAATTCAATTCTGGTTGAGTTTGATATGGATTGGACCTGGATATAGATACGTTCAAGAACTTGTTATGGAGTAGGTGTTTACTACAGGGTGTACCCCCCGGATCTTATAATTGAGGAGAAATGGTTTTAGAAGTGACTTAAACAGACTAGAGGATAGGGGTTAATGGGGGGGGGGGTTATTGTTATTATTATTATTAATCTTATCATGACGGAACCCGTGAGTTTTTAACAAAATTCAAAATTTTTAAAAGTTTTTTTCATTTCCACATGCAACGCGAACTTGAGCTAGCATTAAATATTTCTAAAATTAAATTAATTTTATTGTTGTCTATTTTGCATTCATACAATTAAAATTACTTTGTAGATTGTTTGATTGTTAATTATTCTACAATTTTAACTTTACTTAACCTAACTTAACTACTCTATTTAACTTTACTTAACCTAACTTAACTACTATATTTAACTGAAAATGGTCATATTGGTTTCAATAAATAGTAAATACATATAAAATATAAAACTTTCATAAATAAAAAATTGTCATCATAAATCGAAAATGAATTCAACTGTCGTCTTCCTTATCTAGGAAAAAAATCCACAAACTCGAGCTTTTAGTATATAAAATTATAATTATAAATACATTGATAACATTTTACATCATTAATTTTGAAAGTAATTTATTTTGAAATATAAAAGAAAACATAAAATTTGGTTTAAAATAAGTGTTAACATATATTTCAATTGAACAAATTGTGTTAAAAACATTATAATATTATCAATATGTATTATGTAGATACAATAAATGGTATATATGAATATAGTATATTCTTATATCATAGTGATTGATGAATACGGAGATGGAGTTTCTCTTAAAGAAGAAGTGAAATAAGTTGAACAAAGTTTATTAAACCTGGATACTCTCTCTGCTCTACCATTGGATTCCCTGGTCATATCTCTTCATCCTCAGCAGGGACGGATACAGGATTTAAGTGAGTGGGGGGGGGGGGCAAGAATTTTTAGGAACAAAAAATTCATAATTAGGAACAAAAAATCGCGCTGCAGGCGAAAATTTTTTTTTACTTAAAAGACTCAAAAAGAGTCAAAATTAATGACTAAAGACTAAAAAACCAGATTTTCAACTTTTCAAACATTATAGTTTATTAAGACAGATATTTTTCCTGTTTTGCACTAGGGTTTCTTTCCCTTAAGTATGCTATTGAGAAGGTATTCTGAAAATAGGAACAAAAAATTCCAAATTCGGGGGGGGGGGCTACGCCCCTCCCTGAATCTGTCAGGGGGTGGCGAATGTCCCCCGCCCCCCCCTGTATCCGCCCCTGATCCTCAGTAATTAACCAACGACACTTCTGGGCCTATTGACGGATTTTTTTTAAGGAGAAGTCCTTTCATGTTTGTTCCTTAAACATACTGTTCCAAACTTCAAGGAGGATTGTACAGCACAGTACTCCTCCTTCTTCAATTTGGAAACTTTAAGAATAAAATGGTTTATCAGAGGCATTGACAAAAAAAAATGGTTTGCTTTTTTCAAGAAGAATGCTAGCGTGAGATTTTCCTTTAGGAATTGAGCAGGAATAAAATTGATTTGTTTGACATTACAAATATGGATTTTTTTTGGCTAGTTCCCTTTTATGTTGTACGCACAGAATCAACCTCAGTTTTCTTCTTTGCGGATAAAAAAAACAAACAATTTAAATTGCACAATTTTTATATTTTAATTTAGCCATTGTTGGTTGTTTTGAATGAGAGGCCTTCTGCAGCGATACATACATGTTAAATTTAAATAAAACCAAATAAAACAAAAACAATTTAGAACTAAAGGAAAAGGAGGAAGAGGAGTAGATATGGAAAAGAAGAAGGACTAGGATCGTAGGTNAGGGGGGGGGGACAACCCAGCACACAAAGTTTGTAATGTACAATTACTTGGGTTCATGTAGACTTAATTGTAGACTATTTATAATAAAGCAATTTTAAGAAATCAAAATTAAAATAGAAAGTCGTCTTTGTTGTTTGGTGTATACGACGATTTCTGGACCTACGCCCTTCCGTCCTACTGCCCATCCGACCTACTAGCAATGGTCTTACAGCTCGGCCCTGAAATCTCAACCTAACCTAACCCTCAAATAATACAAAAATATACAGCTGTCGTAGGTCGGATGTGCAGTATAGCGGATGAGCAGTACTGCGGATCAACATTACCAGTTTTAGCATCCTTATACAGCATACTCCATCCTTTTAAAGAAGACTACGTTTATAAATGTCGTCTTATACTAAATTATTTCCAAGCCAAATAATCCAACAAATTTGCAAATTTCCAAACCAAATAAAGGCGTGAACGACGGTGTTAGTTCGATGAATTTTTGAAGTTATGAATTCTTAAATTTAACGTTTACCAGTGTTATAAACGTGAAAATATATTTGTGAGAATAAGTAGCATTTCTCTCTGTTAATGAATAATGAGGAGAATGTTATATAAAGGTCGCAATGGGGACTAAAATTGGTAATTTCCCAGGGCTTTTGATAATGAAGGTCCAGTCTTAGTTATTCTGGAACATGTTGTGTCCAATAAATGTCAAAATTTGGGTTTGAAGTTCTTGTAGGAACGCACATATCCACAAGGAGGGTGTGTTTAATGTAAACTTATTCAGAAGGGGGGGGGGGGCTAGAATCAATATTTAACTACATATTTGGTGTAAACATTTGAAAATGTGTCTCATGCCCGCATGTTTTTTAAAAGTGGATTTTATGATTAGTTATAAGGTGGTTATAAACGTGCCATACATTAGATGTCTTTTGTATTTCCCTGTTTGAGAATATTGGCAAAAATTTGAATAAAAACAATACTAGGAGTATCAGGGCTTTAAAACTGATTTTATTGGTGTAGTTGTTTTTCATTTTAAACTGAAGCGAACCCGAGCCATTAAATCTTAAATCTAGCATCAGTGGTTATAGCATACTTCAAAGTAAACTCAATCAATTATTATTATCATTATCATTATCAGTATCATTATCATTATTATTATTATTATTATGCTTATTATTATTATTATTATTATTATTATTCGGCCCCCTAGCCTGTGCTAGCCGCAGCACTCGGCCCTTTAAATTGTCCTAACCTAACCCTAACATAATAGAGCGTTGCGGCCTAACTTATTAAAAATAATATAATTATAACTGATAGGTTAGGTTAAGTCTATTTCTGGACCTAGCGAAGCGGTTAGGACATGCTGGGGGGCCGAGCACTGCTGCCATATTTATTTTACTCCAAAAGTACAGTGGTTCGCAGAAAAAAGGGTAAAAGTAGTAAACGTTGGTAACCAAATTGTCGGTTATGTTACCAAATTGTTAGTTACCAAATTTTCGGGTTACCAAATTATTAGTTACCAAATTATTAATTAATGTTAGTTACCGAAAATCGGCCCATCATATATTGAATGTCTTGTTTTATTATATAGATAGATTTTTCATAAGTTGACATGGGAGGATGGACGAAGGACGCAGCTGAGAGCCTCGGGGGCTCAGAGGCCGGCCTCAAGCTTATCTTAGGTAGGATTTTTTTTATTTTGATTAGGATTTGGATAATTTCATGTTAAAATTTTTTTAAGAAGCTATTGTGTACTTTATCATTTATACGTACTTTATGGTGAATTTATTATTGACGTACTATAAAGTAATCATCGTACCATTAATTCAGATTAGCATATTATAGCACCGTGCTATAATATAATCATTGTGCTATAATGTTAAAGTAGCATCGTTCTATACATTTTTGATTGGTTCCAGGGGCGTATTTAGGAATTTGTCCAGGGGGGGGGCTTAAATTTTTTCTTTCAGGGGGAGGGGGCTCAGCACCCGTTGGGGCATGAAAACCCCCTGAAATCAATAGATTTCACTGGTCCGGGGGGGGGGGGGGGCTTAGCCCAATAGCACCCCCTGAATACGCCTCTGATTGGTTCCAGGATTTTTTCCAAGTTATAAATTGACTTTGAATTTTTTTCTTGTTTGATTAAAAGCTTGATAGATCTAGAAATAATCATTGCTTTAAGGGAGTGACCGGCTATGTAAAGTAGTTGAACTGAGTATACGGTGTTGTTGAAAACTTCTTTCGGATTCATCAGAGACATATAACAATTTTTAAAGACCTGTAAATCCTGAGTTTGAGCGCAAATTCGACGTTCAAAACTCCTACTTTGGGGGTGGATACGCTTTCAGAATTAGTTTTTTTAAATTAGTTAAAATAGTTCAACTACCTTACATAGCCGGTCACTCCCTTTAAAGTACACAAATATTTCATAGAATTACTTTAAACACTAATATTTTGGCACAAAGTGTTATAAAGTTCCGACCTAATTTTCTCTGTATCTCGAAGGTTCTCGCCTTTTTACATCATATTTTGTCCCAAAGCTCGGGACAAAACATATTCTAAAAAATGGCTTGATTGAACCTTCTTGATAAAGAGAAAATTTGTGTCTAGAAATTCTACAGCGCTGGTTACCAAAATAATATTTATAAATAGTTGATTAGTTCTAAACGGATAATTTTTTCACAAATATTTACCTCAGATACAAAACATCTAATAATTTTAACTATTTTTTAACATTAATTTCTTTTAAAATTTAATATTTTTAAAATATTGGTTATAGATCATACAAAAGTATTCTGTTATAATTCAATCTTTATTTTCTTCCTTACTGTCCCTTTTTAAAGATATTCATAACTATATTTAACTGAATAAATGTGTGTTTTATTGTCAAATATTGTAAAAAAAAATTATTGAACGATAAAATTAAAATAATAAAATATTGAATAATAATGGTGAAACATTTCAGGTCAGTTGGCTGGATACCCTCTTCTTCTCTTCTACAGAAAGTTCCTGTCTGATAAGGTATTTAATTAAGAGAACATATTTTCTTTAAAAACTTAATGCTTTATCGTCTTTGAGAATATAAGTTAATTATTTGTTAAAAGGCTTTTGTCTAAAAAAGCATCGAAAATCACTCTCTCTCCCTTTTTCTAAATATATCCCACCGTACTAAAGATTTCGATACTTTTATGATCTTTTTTGTTTTGTTTTTGCGCTTCGCACCAGAGGCCGAATTAAAAGAATTTGAGCCACGGCTTAAATTTGAGATGCGGCTCAAATATGGTTGGTTCCACTTAAAATTGTATTTAATGTTTTAAGATTTAAGCCGGCGCTCAATCGAAACCGGTTATTGGTGGATTTGAGACGCGGCTCAAATTAATTAAATTCGGACTCAGTTTTCTTAAATAGTTAGGAAACAAATGATTGTACTAAGGAGCGAAACTTTTTAAAAAAAAGTAATATAAACCTATTTATTTCTTTCCAACATCCCTTTGAGCTAGAGCCTGTAAGTTGCCTAAGTGTTGCAACATTTTAGTTTTTTTTTTCTATTTCAGGATCCTAAACTGCAGCACGTTTATTTTACCCTTTCCGGACTTTTTCTTGGCCACTGGGTGATCGGCCCTGGGGTCGTTCATTCGATATACGCAATTATATTCACTTATCTTCTTCTTACTATAGGTAAATTATTTACGGAATTATATTCACTTATCTTCTTCTTACTATAGGTAAATTATTTACGCAATTATATTCACTTATCTTCTTCTTACTATAGGTAAATTATTTACGCAATTATATTCACTTATCTTCTTCTTACTATAGGTAAATTATTTACGGATTATATTTACTTATCTTCTACTTACTATAGGTAAATTATTTACGGATTATATTTACTTATCTTCTACTTACTATAGGTAAATTATTTACGGAATTATATTTACTTATCTTCTACTTACTATAGGTAAATTATTTTGCAATTATATTTACTTATCTTCTTCTTACTATAGGTAAATTATTTACGGATTATATTTACTTATCTTCTACTTACTGTAGGTAAATTATTTATGCAATTATATTCACCTATCTTCTTCTTACTAAAGGCAAATTATTTACGCAATTATATTCACTTATCTTCTTCTTACTAAAGGTAAACTATTTACTCAATTATATTTACTTATCTTCTTCTTACTAAAGGCAAATTATTTATGCAATTATATTTACCTATCTTCTTCTTACTATAGGTAAATTATTTATGCAATTATATTCACTTGAGTCTTCTACTTACCATAGGTAAATTATTTATGCAATTATATTCACCTATCTTCTTCTTACTACAGGTTAATTATTTATGCAATTATTGACTGAATTTCCTTTTTTAACAATTATGTAATCTATAAAAAAAAACCTTGGACCAAATATATATATACCTTTATCGGGTTTGCAACAGCTTTTATTAACATTTAAATTGAAGATCAATAAATTGTTTGTTTTTAATTGTTTTCTTTATTTCTAAAACTAAAAACACAACTATTTCTTGCTACAAAAATAGTAAAATGTTTTCAATTGTTCTATAAGATCGGAAACTGCTCACCGATAATTTTAGTATCTAAAAAGATACCAAAATATCCAATTATTCTCGTTAAAAATTGGAAAACTATTTTTTTAGCTGGTGGAACATTGCTTTCCGTAGTTGTATCCTTCAGCTTTCATCTCTCCTACCTTCTTGTAGGTTACTGGTACAATAACACAGGTCAGTTATCTCATTACTTAAAGGGATTGTAAGCGTAAATTAAAGAGACTTTAAGCGTAAATTAAAGGGACTGTAAACTTTATTTAAAGTGACCCTTAATGCAAAAATGACAATGTCTGATTTATTACGTTACCCTTGAAAGCTTTGTCCGGTTGAGACTAAGTATAGTATTATATATTCATATATATATAATATATATATATTCACGAATATATATAATATAGTATTATATATTCATGTTTTTGTTTCTTGAAACTTGTTATTTTCATTTGCGTATTCTCTTTGACAGAGATTTAAAAGAAGCCATGGAGAAACTCTCAGAAATTGACAATTTTCGAGTCAGTAAAACGACGGTTTCTTTCACATTTTTGATCAGATTAAGGTTTCAAGGGTACTGTTGTAAATCGGGCATTGCAAAGTTTGCAGGTAGTGTTACTAGAAATTACCCTTAAAGTAATTATTTGATAAATTATGATTATATATGATTATTATCCCAACATTATTACTTTTCATAACTTTAAAGTTCACCTATTACTTAAATAGTCCTAATATAAAGAAATTATTATGAATTTTACTAGATTTTAACTACTTTAAATTGAAAAACCCAAAAAGGCCAAAAAAAGCCCAATAAAACCCAATAAAACCCAATAAAACCACTGGGCTGTTTTTTTTAAAAACCCGTTTTTTTCGATTTCTGCAATATAGGCGTATGAACAGCGTCTGCGCGGTTCAGCTTCTACTCGCTATTCATTAATTCTGGTCCCAGGAACAATCCAACAAAACATATTTATTCCAGGCGACGAATATGATATATCCTGGACAATGCCGCAGTGTGTTCTCTGTCTCAGGCAATTTGTTGCAAAAATTCATAAATTTGGCAAAACTCTGCATAGTTTCAAGCTTACAGTGGTTACCAGTAAACAATGGACTCTTTCCGTCGGTTTAGTATTTTGCATCTTTTTGATAAAAATCGACAGCAAACGACTTTCTATAATACAAAAGTAAAAAACAACTGGAAGTTCTGTTTTTCTTACAGGGGTAGGCGATTATATCAATACAAAGCACTTCATTGCTCACGATTTTGTAAAGACAAATTCACTGGTGGAAGCGAAATTTGTTTCCTTTGAACGATATCAAAATGGCCATTAACAAATCCGTCTCAAAACACTGAATCAAAAAACGTTAAAATCAAGAAAATCCGGTAAATTAAACAAATAAATAGACAATAATTTAAAATTATTTTTTTGGCTTTTGAAATTTGAAATTTTTTAAATTTTAGAAAACTAAGAAATCGGTTCGAGGCGTAAAGTTATGAAAAAAATCGACCTCTCGACATGATTTATGATTTTTGAATATGCTTGCGCTCATCCAGTTTTACAAAAATAGAAAAATAAATTCAGTGTTTTTAAATGAATAGTTTTGTGTGTTTTTTTTCTTAATATATTTTTTCTCCTGGTCACGGTTTGCAAAATTGTTGTAATAAAGGCTAATCGGGTTGACTATAGATGTTTACGATGGAGCACAGTTGAAACTAAACCCAGACTCCCTTTCTAAGGTTGGTTGATTTAATTGAGTTGGTGGTTAGTTGGTTGATTTTGTTGAGTTGTTGGTTGATTGATTGATTTAGTTGGTTGTTGATTGGTTTAGCTGGTTGATTGAGTTGTTGATTTTATTAAAAGGTAATGGTAATCTTAAAGCTTTTTTAAATCGCTTGAATTATTTTAAAGCTATTTTGGAATTTATGAATTACTGGATTGTTTATGAAATTTCTAAATAAATAGGATAATATTGAACAATCATTAAGAGACTCTTTTATGTTGATGAAATTATCCATTTTTAAAGCGGTTTGGTTGGTTTGATAATTGATTAATTGATTGATTGATTGATTGATTGATTGATTGATTGATTGATTGATTGATTGATTGATTGATATCTAGGATCAGGTGAAGAACTGTTTGACAACGAACCCGGACATTCTAGAGATGCTCTCACATAGTTTCTTCATCGGAGGTGAGCAGCAACAGGAGGTGGTTGGCTATCTGGGATATCTTGGATATCTTGGATATCATGGATATCATGGATATCTTGGATATCTTGGAATCTGGGATATCTTGGATATCTTGGATATCTTGGATATCTTGGATATCTTGGATATCTTGGATATCTTGGATATCTTGGATATCTTGGATATCTTGGATATCTGGGAATCTGGGATATCTTGGATATCTTGGATATCTTGGATATCTTGGATATCTTGGATATCTTGGATATCTTGGATATCTTGGATATCTTGGATATCTTGGATATCTTGGATATCTTGGATATCTTGGATATCTTGGATATCCGGGATATCTGGGATATCCCAGATATCCCAGATATCCCAGATGGAGATCTTGGAGATCTTGGAGATCTTGGAGATCTTGGAGATCTTGGAGATCTTGGAGATCTTGGAGATTTTGGAGATCTGGGGAGATCTGGGGAGATCTTGGGCCCTTGAAAAAGGGACTGTTGACATAATTTCAATTGATGAGTTGCATGACCGATTCACACCATCGAAACCTTCGTTTAAACCAAGATATCCTTGTTTTTATAATTTAAAATTTAAAACTATCACTTCAGTTTTATTAAAGTGATTTATGCAAAAAATGAAGAAGTATTTAATGCTTTTCAATAAAACGAAGATATTATCCTCAAGTTTGAAAAGATTAAGGAATCCGATATGCCACTCTCTTAAAAGTGAGTCATTTAAAATTATGTCGACAATCCCTGTAACAAAATATTTTTCGAATCTCAATAAAGAAAATTTCAGGATATTTTGTTGGTCCTCAGTTTTCCCTGCGCAAGTTTCAAGAGTTCGCTTCCCCGGCTTATCATGTGGCCCTGCCCTCATCACCTTCAAGGTACAATTTTTCTTCAATTTTTCTTCATTTTTTTTTGAAAATCTTTTTTTCTTCAAATTCTTTTTTCCAGAAGAATTTTCCACTCAGTATTGTATTTATTAAATTAAAATGATTAATGAATTCTTCTTGAATATACTTGATACTTAATACTTACTTGATACTTGTGATGTGATACTAAGGACTCCAAGTAGGAGTATTGTAGGAATGTCTGTTCCAGTCCCCCAGAGTATTGTTCAGATCGTCCTAGTTCTCATTTGTTTTCAGCATACTCCGTACAGTACTTAAATACACAAGTGAAGTTTTAGTTGATCTGTTCATCACGTTTAGATTTGAAACAATATGTTCTTTCTTTCTTTTCTATTTGAAGTAATTTTTTATTTAATTTGTAGGTTTGGGTTTAAGCGGTTAATGATTGGAGTTGCATATCTTGCAGGTGAATAATGATTATCAGATTCACTGATTTGATTGATTGATTACACTGATCTGATTTGATTGATTGATTAGATTGGTCTGACTGAATGATTTGTAAATTTGTGGTAGGTTGATTTGTTGATTAAATGGTTGGTTATTGGTTGATTTATTCTTTGATTAGGTTTTTGAATGATTGGTTGATTTGGTTGATTTGATTGATTTGATTGATTTGATTTATTTGATTTATTTGATTGATTTGATTTGTTAGCTTGTTTGTTAGCGGATTTATTGATTGACAGATTGATTGACTGAATGGTTGGGTGCTTGACTTATTTATTGATTAATTGATTGAAGATTGGGTGTTTGATTTATTTATTTATTTATTTATTTATTAGGACATCTGATTGGAAATATGTTTATCAACGAAGACTGGCCGAATTCTGAGAACTATACAAACTCTAGCCTTCCTGTCAAACTATTCTGTAAGTACTTCCGGTCAAACTATTCTGTAAGTACTTCCGGTCAAACTATTCTGTAAGTACTTCTGGCCAAACCATTCTGTAAATTTTACTGCCTATTTAAATGAGTATGTAAGCCTAATTTCATGTGATCCTCCATGCAAAGATGGCAATGTCTGTTTCACAACTTTTCTCATAAAAGATTATTTAAATCATGAATTAGATAATAATGTTCATTTAATGATTTTGAAAAATGAGTTTTGTGCATTTCTGTAGCAGGGAACATTTAGGAATTATCAACCTAGCAAAACTTTATTTATTAGAAGTTTCAGGTTCAGGTGTACCGTTGCATGGAGGGGTCACTTGAAATCTCGCTTACAGTCCCTTTAACATAATATATTTGACCTTATTAGAAGGTTCAGGTGTACCGCTGCATGGAGGGTCACTTGAAATCTCGCTCACAGTCTCTTTAACATAATATATTTGACCTCGTTATAATAACTCGATATGAGTTCCTGAAGATTATCCAGAAGTTAACTATAGATAAGAATTTAAGAAATATAAAACAATTACTGACAATTACTGTCTGTCTGTCTTTAAGATCTTATAATTATTTATTTATTTATTTATCTAATATCTATCTAATATCTATCTAATATCTATCTATCTATCTATCTATCTATCTATCTATCTATCTATCTATCTATCTAATATCTATCTATCTATCTATATATCTATCTATCTATCTATCTATCTATCAGGTTTACTGTTGTGGGTAAAGATAATACTGGCCAAGTATATATCTATCTGGTTGATGGCTGAAGGGGTCTGTGTTGTGTCCGGACTCAGGTAATCACCTTTTCCTCGAGGGTTTTTGCATTAAATAAAGAATTTTTTTTTGAAAAATCTAGCAAAATTTTCAAAAAAATATTTACGCTAGATATTTGCTCCTCTACGCCAGATATTTGCTCCTCTACGCTAGATATTTGCTCCTCTAAGCTAGATATTTGCTCCTCTACGCTAGATATTTGCTCCTCTTCTCTAGATATTTGCTCCTCTACGCTAGATATTTGATCCTCTACGCTGGATATTTGATCCTCTACGCTAGATATTTTCTCCTCTACGCTAGATATTTGCATATCTACGCTAGACATTTGATCCTCTACGCTAGATATTTGATCCTCTACGCTAGAAATTTGCTCCTCTACGCTAGATATTTGATCCTCTACGCTAGATATTTGATCCTCTACGCTAGATATTTGCTCCGCCACGCTAGATATTTGCTCCGCCACGCTAGATATTTGTTCCTCTACGCTAGATATTTGCTCCTCTTCTCTAGATATTTGATCCTCTACGCTAGATATTTGATCCTCTACGCTAGATATTTGCTCCTCTACGCTAGATATTTGATCCTCTACGCCAGATATTTGCTCCTCTACGCTAGAAATTTGCCCCTCCACGCTAGATATTTGCTCCCCTACTCTAAGATGTTTTCTACTCTACGCTAGATATTTGCTCCTCTACCCTGGATATTTGATCCTCTACGCTAGATATTTGCTCCTCTACGCTAGATATTTGCTCCTCTACGCTAGCTATTTGATCCTCTACGCCAGATATTTGCTCCTCTACGCTAGAAATTTGCTCCCCTACTCTAGATATTTTCTACTCTACGCTAGATATTTGCTCCTCTACCCTGGATATTTGATCCTCTACGCTAGATATTTGCTCCACTACGCTAGATATTTTCTCCTATACGCTGCATATTTGCTCCTCTCCGCTAGATATTTGTTCCTATACGCTAGATATATGCTCCTCTATGCTAGATATTTGCTCCTCTGTGCTAGATACTTTCTCCTCAACGCTAGATATTTGCTCCTCTACGCAAGATATTTGCTCCTCTACGCTAGATATTTGCTCCTCTACGCTAGATATTTGCTCCTCTTCGCTAGATATTTGATCCTCAAGGCTAGATATTTGTATATTTGATCCTCTACGCTAGATATTTGTTCCTCTACGGTAGATATTCACCAATCACAATGAGATAGGGTTAATGTACAAACACATTGTGGAATAGTTGTATTAACTGAATATAAAGTTGTTGTACTAGATTTCATAGTGTTTAATTGGCGACATAATTTTCCTGTTACGTGGATCTATTTTTACCCTCATTTTATTGTACTTTAGACCAACGTGCACATCTTACAACAACAAAAAATCTTGCTTTAAAAAATATATTTTATGGTAATTTATTTTTATTTTTTGGTTTTTGAAGAAAGTACAATTACAATTGACAATTTGTATGAAGTTTAAACCATTGAAAAGATATTTTTTCTACATTTCTTCTATGTGGTAGATTTCTGATTTCTACAGAATGATGGTTGATCCTTTATTTATTTGATCATTAATTAAAATAATATATATGTATACTTTATTTTCCATTAAATTCATTCTAGAAATATAATTTTTCTGTTAAGTTATAACGGGAGCTATGAGGATGGATCTCCCTGCTGGACTGGGTGTGCTAATGTCAAGCTTAGGTTAGATATTCATGAGCAATCAATAAATCAAACTTTTTGAAATTTTCTATAACAAGTGATACGACATAATAATAATAATACACTAGCTTGGAAACCAGGGGCGGATACAGGATTTTAGGAACAAAAAAATTCACTATAGGAACAAAAAATCGCGCCGCTGGCGAAAATTTTTTTGACTTAAGACTCAAAAAGAGTCAAAATTAATGACTAAATACTAAAAAACTAGATTTTTAACTTTTCACACATTATAGTTTATTAAGACAGATATTTTTCCTGTTTTGCACTAGGGTTTCTTTCCCTTAAGCATGCTATTGAGAAGCTATTCTGAAAATGGGAACAAAAAATTCCAAATTCAGGGGGGGGGGGCGAATGTCCCCTGTATCCGCCCTTGTTGGAAACTCAGCTTTGCCGATAAAATCGTCCCACTCAACTAGTTCCGAACATTCCCGTATTTCTTCTAAGTT